CACTCTGGGAGGCTGAGGCGGGTGGATCACAAGGTCAGGGGTTCGAGACCAGCCTGACCAACATGGTGAAATCCCGTCTCTACTTAAAAATACAAAAATTAGCCAGGTGTGGTGGTGTGCACCTGTAATCCCAGCTACTTGGGAGGCTGAAGCAGGAGAATTGCTTGAACCCAGGAGGTGGAGGTTGCAGTGAGCCAAGAGCACGCCATTGCACTCCAGCCTGAGCGACAGAGTGAGACTCCGTCTCAAAAAAAACCCAAAAAACATAAAAACAACAAAAATAAAAATTGGCTGGGCACGGTCGGGTCACTCATTCCTGTAATCCCAGCACTTTGGGAGGCCAAGGCAGGTAGATCACGAGGTCAAGAGATTGAGACCTTCCTGGCCAAAGTGGTAAAACCCTGTCTCTACTAAAAATATAAAAATTAGCTGGGCATGGTGGAGCACACCTGTGGTCCCAGCTACTTGGGAGGCTGAGGCAGGAGAATCGCTCGAATCCAGGAGGCAGAGGTTGCAGTGAGCTGAGATCGTGCCACTGCACTCCAGCCTGGGCAACACAGCAAGACTCCATCTCAGAAAAAAAAAAAACAAAAAAAACAATTAGCCAGGCATTGTGGTGGGTGCCTGTAATCCCAGCTACTCGGGAGACTGAGGCAGGAGAATCACTTGAACCTGGGAGGCAGAGGTTGCAGTGAACTGAGATCGCACCACTGCACTTCTGCGTGGGCCACCGAGCAAGACTCCATCTCAAAAAAATAAAAAAGGAAAGGAGGGGGGAGGGGAAGGGGCAGGAGTTAGATGGAGAGGAGGAGGAGGGAGGGAGGAGGAGGAGGAGAAGGAGGAGGGGAGAGAAAGGAGAAGGAAAAGGGGGAGAAAGATGGGGGGAGGGGAGAAGAAGAAAAGAAAGACAGGGACCTCAGACCTCAGATGGGTCAGCAAGGCTCCTCCCTCTCAGGATCTACCCAGCCTGCCCCAAAACCTGCTGTGTGGCCTGCTGTTCCTCGATGTAGCGAGATGTGGCAGAGACGGCGCTGGCATCCAGCAGGTCGCTGGGTGACTTCTGGGCAGCTGGTTTGCCCGCCAGCATCTGCAGGGGCACAGAACATAGACTCGGGGAGGGACAGCAACTCATAGCGGGGCATGTGAGGCAAGTCCCCATAGTGGTGAGTCAGGGAGGCAGACTCTGGCGCGGGACAGCCTGCAATCCTCACTCACCACTTACTAACAAGGTGACCCAGGGACCCCCTCATTTGATCTCTCTGTGCCTCAGTTTCTTCAGCTGTAAAATGCAGAAAGCAGGCCAGGTATGGTGGCTCATGCTTGTAATCCCAGAACTTTGGCAGGTGAAGGTGGGCGGATCACCTGAGGTCAGGAGTCCAAGCCCAGCCTGGCCAAAGTGAAACCCCATCTCTACTAAAAATATAAAAAATTAGCTGGATGTGGTGGTGCACGCCTATAATCCCAGCTACTCAGGAGGCTGAGGCAGGAGAATCACTTGAACCCGGGAGGTGGAAGTTGTAGTGAGCCAAGATCGTGCCACTGTACTCCAGCCTGGGCAACAGAGCAAGACTCTATCTCAAAAAAAAAAGAGAGAGCCGGGCACGGTGGCTCAAGCCTGTAATCCCAGCACTTTGGGAGGCCGAGGCGGGTGGATCACGAGGTCGAGAGTTCGAGACCATCCTGGTCGACATGGTGAAACCCCGTCTCTACTAAAAATACAAAAAATCAGCTGGGCATGGTGGCGTGTGCCTGTAATCCCAGCTGCTCGGGAGGCTGAGGCAGGAGAATTGCCTGAACCCAGGAGGCGGAGGTTGCGGTGAGCCAAGATGGTGCCATTGCACTCCAGCCTGGGTAACAAGAGCGAAACTCCGTCTCAAAAAAAAAAAAAAAAAAAAAGAGAGAGAGAGAGAGAGAAAGGCAGGCATTCGTCATTCGTCCTGGAAACAGCCAAATACAGGACAAATGGCATGGAAGCAGAAAGGAGATAGGTACACAGGCCTCCAACCCTCCTTTGCAATAGGAAACCAGTATAGGGCCAACTAAACCAGTATAGAGCCAAATCAGAGGAGACACTAGAGAGGAGCCCACGGACACATACACACAGAGAGGTTCAGGTGCACACACCCAGAAAGTGCAGGCAGGTAGACAGCAAGAAGACAGCTGCACACAGGATGGGCGCTGTCACAGAAGGGACAGGCGAACACACACAGGGGGGTCTGGCTTGTACTCAATGGTGTGGTCACCCCCAGGTGCCCAGGTGGGCAGGGTGGGTCAGGAAGGCTTACCTCTCTGCTATTCCTTTCCAGAAAGGCTACGGCTGTTGGGCTGACCATATGGTCCTTCATTTCCTGGAGGTGAAGACAGCATTAGGGAGGAAAGACACTCATGCTGGGCGTGGCTCACACCTGTATTCCCGGCACTTTGAGAGGCCAAGTTGGGTGGATCACCTGAGGTCGGGAGTTCGAGACCAGCCTGGCCAACACGGTGAAACCCCGTCTCTAACTAAAAACACAAAAAATAGCCAGATATGGTGGCGGGCACCTGTCGTCTCAGCTACTGAGGAGACTGAGACACAAGAATCGCTTGAATCCGGGAGGTGGAAGTTGCAGTGAGCTGAGATTGTACCACTGGACTCCAGCCTGGGCGACAGAGTGAGAGTTCAATCTCAAAAAGAAAAGACACTCACACCTCCCCCACTCCCCACCTGCAGGACCTCTGCTCACCTGGACGGCCTCTCGCATCCGCTCCACGAACACCTTTCTCTCCTGCAGGTCCCCAGCCGGGAGCTTGAACTTGCCTGGGTTGGCTTCCACTATGCGTGGGCTGAGAGTCAAGGGTCAAGGCCAGAGTCAGACAGCATCTCCCTCCCTAGGGGTCCAGCCCTCCCCGAGGGTGAGCTCCCGGACCCCTACCACCGCAGGGGGCTCCCCCATGCCACCCCCCGCCCCAAAGCCCCAGGATATCGATGGTCTCTTCCAGGTCCTCGAGGTCCCACTCGATGCTGCGCAGGCCATTCCGCAGCTCATTGGTCGTCCAGTCCAGCTCCTCGCGTCCGACCGCCGCGCTCTCCTGCAGGAGCTCGCACCAACGCTGGTACAGCCCGCGGGCCGTGTTCACCGCCTTCTGCACCTCGCTGCGGGCAGGGGCACGGCGGGCGCGGCTGGGGGCAGGCGGTCCTCCCGCCCGCCTCCGCCCCCGACTGCAAACCCAAACGCATGGGGGACTCCGGACACCCCAGTATCCCCCTGTGTGCGCCTCCCACTCTGCACCCCGACGGCCCTGCCCAGCCCGCCTGGCATGCTGGGGCCAGCACCCGGGCACTGGCTGGCTTGGGGACGGAGCACCCTCCGCCCTCCCCCGTCGCTGTCACTCACCCTCGGACTACAAAAAAGGGGTCTTCAAGAGACATGTCAGTCCTCCTCCCCGCCAGGCCGAACCCCCTCCCGGCCTGGGTTCGCGGGCTGGTTCCCTTGCAGCTGAGGAGTACGCGCCGCCACCCCCGCCCCCGTCACGTCACCATCGAGAGCGGGGCCGCCAGGAGAGAAAGAGAAGCCTCGGAGGCCTGACCTGCGGACACTTCCGCCCTCTCCGTAGCCATCTTGGTTGTGGGCAGAGGCAGCTTCCGGTCCACATGCTCCGCCCCTTGGCCCTCTGGTGCCGCTCGGTAGCGGGAGGTGTCCGAGTTCTGGTTGGGCCTGTTCGAGTCCGAGTTCGGAATCTCGGTTCGAGACCCAGGTCCTCGGATTGTTGCTGCGCAACCTCAGTTTCCCTTCCAGGCATGGCTAATGTAAATAATGATAGCCTCCCTTATTTCTGACGGCTGGGGAAGGGGTGTATTAGATTCGTTGAATCTTTTCATGGACTCCCTGAGCTGGCACTTCGGAGATCGTCCCAGTCCAGGGTCCCGAGTTTCAGCTTTGGGCATGGTGTAGGGGAGAGGTGGTACTCTCTTCTCCCCGCGGGGGCGGAGTGAGGAGCAGGCCTGCTTCTGTGTGGAGCTCTGCTGCATTCTCCCAGCCTCTTTCCTGAGAAGTGGGGGAGTTGAGGGCACTTCGAGGTCGCCTTGGGGAGAGGTGGTCTTGAGTGGGGGTGTCAGAGATGCCAGGGGCGGGGGAAGGTCATCCTCAAGAGCGTGCGTGCGTGGTGGGTTTCATCAGAAGCGTGGAGTCTTTCTGGGTTCGAGCCTGGGGGTCGCGGGAGGTGTGATGGTGGCTTTGAGGATGGTCTCCCTCTGGGTAGGGGCCAAGAGTATCAGCGAAGGGACTCATAGTGTCACCCTCTGTGTGACAGTGGAGCTCTGTGTGTTGGGTGGTAAGGGGAGTCTCGGGAAAGCACGTTTTGAGTGGTGGGGGGGCCTGGTCTCCCCTGGAGGGTGGGCGGGTTGTCTGAGGGAGTCCTCGGAGGGTCGCCCCCTTGCGCATCAGAGTTGCTGCGTGGGCTCTGAGATAGTGCCTGGGCTGGGGAAGTCATTGTGGGGGTCTCCGTGGTAAGGTTAGCGGGGCGGGGACGGGGGCATCTTCCGCAGGTGGCTGCAGTGTGGCAACTTCGTTGAATGGGGACAAGTTTGGGAAGGGTCTTTTGGGGGGGAAATAACTCTTGAGTCCCCACCTGCCGGGGGAAGGCGGGACGGGAGAGTGTCCCAAGACAGATCGCTGTGGGGCGGGGGACAGGGATAACCTGGGAGGGGCTTTGTATGGGGGAAATAATTGGGAAGGGGAAAGAAGGGATGAGGGGGCCTCAGCGGTTCGTCTCTTGTGTATGCAGGGTCGTTCTGTAGCGTCTCTGTGAGATGGCGTCCGTGGAAGCCCTGAGGTCGCCCCTACCCGCTGCGGGGTGCTTTCCAGGCGTTACGCCTTCCTGGCCCCCGGAGGGAAAGGAAGTGAAACTCTCCTTCCCACCCACCCGGCTGGATGCGGGTCAGGAAGCCTGGGGCTCCGCTGCCCGGGCCAGGGAGGGGCGGGGCGTGGCCGGAGCGCAAAGCCCCGCCCCTCCCGCCCGCCCGGAAGCCCCGCTGCCGCCGGCTATGGAGATCACAGGCTCTGTCCTAATATGGGCAACCGGAAGCGGACCGCGCGACTGTCCTACGTCACTCCGTCCAAATTTAGTTGTGGAAGTCAGCGGGCGCCGGTGGCGGGAAGGCGCCGCGAGCCAGTGCGGGCGGAAAGTGGGGGGCGCGCCACTCCTTAAAGGGACCGTATCACAGGAATGAATGGAGCCGTTCGAACAATTTTTCATCCTTTTTTGGAGGCATTGGAATTAGGATTTCTTGGAGAGACGGCGCGTAGCGGAGGGTTTTCTACCTGCTTTGTCTCTGCATTGCTGGGTTTCCAGCTGCCAACCGACCCCCGCCTCCCGGGGCGCGGAGGCGGAACTCGGACACCTAGTCTGGGGGGACGGCAGCCACGTGTTAACGGGGGCTGTCGTGCGCGCTGGGTTTCTCCAAACCCGCCCGTGGAGCTCCTGTCGCGGGAAACTGCGGGGGCATGGCTCGGTAGGAATGACGGAAACCCGCAGCCCGGGGCGGCTCGCCGCTTACAAACAAGGGCTGGCGTACGCTAGAGACCGAAGAGCTGGAGGCCCCAGTGGCCTCCTTTCACAGAAGTAGCAAATATTGTTTGTTTAGCATATACTGGCCCAGTGACTCTGCCTTGGTTTCCCCACTGGAAGGAAGCAGATAGGACAGTGTCCTCCGCGGAGTGGAGGTGAGGGATCGGTGAGTTATTGACAAAAGGAGCGCTCTTAACCGCGCCTGGTAAGTAGTAAGAGCTGTTAGCATGATTTTTGGTGCAGAAAACACTCATTAGACACACCTGGTAAATGCTAGGAGCAGTGCCTACAGGGTTTGTTCAGACTGGAAGCCGGGTCTTCCCCTGTGTGAAGGGAAACTTGCCGCCCACGAGCCACTGGGGCCGCCAGACGGCGAGCATGTGAGTGGGCCCTGAGCCCCATCCCCGGACCCCCTCCCCTGGGCCAACGCGCCCAAGCGGGGCTCAAAAAAAGGAGCCCACCAGAGAGCTGGGCGTGGAGTAGGGGGACGCTCCTCCCCTCCAAGGTTTCCGTTCCCTTTCCCTGCTGGGTAAATCGCATTCTGTCGCTTTAAGGAATGTTTGACCGCGTTGAGTTGGAAAGCCCGGATGCGTCCCTCGGATTGGGCGGGGCGTCGCAGTGACGTCACTGGGGGTATAAAAGGGCCCGGGTGGCGGGCGCCGGGGCAGAGCGTCCTAGCAGTGTCACTGCGTGGGTTGGTTTGTGGGGAGAGGCGTTAGCGAGCCCGTTGTCTGGAGTGCACCTGCCGCCTGTCCTGTCCGTCCCAGGAGCCCCCGCTGCCGTCGCCGTCGAGTCGTCATGGAAGTGCAGAAGGAGGCACAGCGCATCATGACCCTGTCGGTGTGGAAGATGTATCACTCCCGCATGCAGCGCGGTGGCCTGCGGCTGCACCGGAGTCTACAGCTGTCGCTGGTCATGCGCAGCGCCCGGGAACTCTACCTCTCGGCCAAGGTGGAGGCCCTCGAACCCGAGGTGTCCTTGCCGCCTGCCCGCCCCTCTGATCCTCGTCTGCACCCGCCCCGGGAAGTCGAGTCCACGGTCGAGACAGCGACCGCCGACGGCGAGCAGCCGTCTCCGGAGTCCATGGACACGCAGGAGGCGCCGACGGCCGAGGAGATCCCCGCCTGCTGTGCCCCGCGCCCCGCCAAAGTTAGCCGCAAACGGCGCAGCAGCAGCCTGAGCGACGGCGGGGACACGGGACTGGTCCCGAGCAAGAAAGCCCGTCTGGAAGAAAAGGAGGAAGAGGAGGGGGTGTCATCCGAGGTCGCCGATCGTCTGCAGCCCTCTCTGGCGCAAGCGGAGGGCGCCTTTCCCAACCTGGCCCGCGTCCTGCAGAGGCGCTTCTCGGGCCTCCTGAACTGCAGCCCCGCAGCCCCTCCGACGGCGCCGCCCGCGTGCGAGGCAAAGCCCGCCTGCCGTCCCGCGGACAGCATGCTCAACGTGCTGGTGCGGGCGGTGGTGGCCTTTTGAGGACCCCGAGCGGCGCTGCCGGAGCCCAGAGCGCGCGTCGAACCGTCGGCCCCAGGGCGCAGACCCGAGGCGAGGTCACCCCCTCCTTCCCGGGGGGGGGGCGCGCCCGCGAAAACCGTGGAGAGAAGCCGCCGCCCGGGCTGCTGAGAGGCCGGGAGAGGGACTCTGTCCCCAGGGAGCCGTCGCCTTCAGTGTGCAGCGACGGTACCAAGGAGTCTGAGCCGGGGGCGCGGGCGCCTTCCGAAGAAACCTGCTGCGCCCACAGGTGCTTAGTGGACTGGGACGTGGACCTTTCACTCTCCTGGACTGGGAGAAGGGAGGCTTGGGTTTTTTTGTTTTTTAAGATCTCAGGGTCGGACTTCATTTTGTACTGGGGGGCTGTGCTGGCCCTTTGAAGGTTTTTCAAGAGTTGGCTTTGCGTTTCCAACCTCAGAATTCCTGGCGCTCCCCTTCCCCCTCCACTGACATACTTGTGTAAACGGTCATCGTTGCGTCATGGGGCAGGCGTGGGGAGTTTCCTGTCGCCTTGCGTGGGTGTGGGGCCTGCGAGGAGGATCTGGTGCGTGGACCCACCCTGGAGAGTGGGAGGAGAGTGGCCTGAGTCACCTCACCCCCGCGTGCTGCTGGTTGACGTCCCGCGCCTCTCCACCTCGGGTGGGAGCGGGGGCTAATGTAGTTTCACATTCAAGATGTTCTCATCTGGTGCATTAGGGGTGACTAGGTTCCAGCGTGTCCCTACCTCAGACACGGACACAACCCAAGATGTTCCTGGTCTGAATCACAAGTCTGGAGCGGTGAGGGGTGGCAGTGGAAAGGTATAAGGCTGAGCTGGGACCAGTTGCTGGTGAAACGGGGCTAGTTCGGGGAGGGGGACATCTTTGCCAGGAAGTTTTTGAGGGTCTGTTTACCTTTCCTGCGGTGGATTCTTTTTAATTCCGTCTAACCTGGCGTTTTGTTAGAAATGTCAGGAAAATAAAGACCATTTGAGTAAAAAGGCCGGTGCTGTCTGGATTTCTGCTCTGGTGGGGGAGGGGCAGGGTTAAAGGGTCAGGGGCTGGCGGCGGCTGGCTGGGGCCCCAGGAACCGGTCTGACCGGTTACCACGTGGGCGGGAGAGGGCTGGGCCCCTTTTTCCTGGCCCGGGCATTCCCTAGCTGGTGGAGCCCCACCCCCCCAGATTTGGGAGTTCCCTTTAAATTGTCCTACAACTCCGGGATAGGGAGCTTTCTGAATTGAGACGTTTGAGGGGTAGTGCCAAGCACAGTATCCAACCAGAGTTGGGGATCGATCACACTTTGCGTGAAAGATGGCAGATCTCGCCGCCACCTGCTTTCCCGCCCTGACGACCCCCTTAATCAACTGAATCGGCTGCGGCCGGGGTCCTAGGGCTCAGGTGGAGCTGAACGGGTGAGCTTTGAAGGGCCCTTTACCTGGTCATCGCTGTGTGGCCGAGACAGGGAGATGCAGCCTCAGTTTCCTCATCTGTGAAATGGGCCTCTAAGCAGCTTCTCTCCACCCGGCTTTAGGTTTCTAAAAATGCTCACTGGAGCCCTAGTCACTCCCTAGCTGGAGAATAGCCACCCCAAGAGGTGAAAGCCTTTTCAATATCCCCCCACGTCGGTTTAGGAGTGGGGCTGTAGGCTCTGCCCCAGGGCGGAGGGAGGAGAGCTCGCAGGAAGACAAAGGAGTCCCAGGTGCGGGGAGTGGTGGCGGCGGGAGGCGCCGGGAAAGGGCTCGCCCCACCCCCCGACGGCTGGCTCGGCCGCCGCTGGCATCCCATTACCCCAGGGGAACTGACCCCAAGACCGGAAAGTAGAAGGAGGGGCACGCCAGCCCCAAATCGTCTGCTGGTGGAATCTGGGCGCTCTGGCTCCCCTCCCGCCCAATCCACACCCCTTTCCCCTCCCGTGTGGATTGTGAAGGAGAGCTTCACACCGTTCTTCCTTAGCCAAGCTCGCCCCCACCGGCTGCCTGATTCCTTCCTGGGAACACGTGGGGGGACTTTTAAAAGGCTCCACCTACTCCGAGTCCTAACCCACCCCACTACCCCACGGGACGTGGGGGCACTGGAGCCGCACACCGCAGGCGGTAGCTCATTGCACCCGCGTGGGACTTCCTCCCCTGCGAGCCTGGCCTGGCCCGGCCCGGGGAAGTCCGGGGCCCCTGGGGAAGGGGCCTCGCGCGCATCCTGTCGCAGGAACCGCCGAGCCCTTCCTTCCGCGGGAAGCGGCTTGGCCGACCCCCGCCCCCGCCCTCGCCCCCGCCCCCGCCAGGGCCTCTTGGGGTTTCCGGTGCCCAGCCACCGGGGGGTTAGGGACTGAAAGTAATGGGATAGAAGATGAGGCTGGAACAAATACCCTGCAGACACCTCCCCTTAAGACACACCCATCCCCAAGACCCCACTGGACCCATGAGAATAGGCAGCATTGAATCTTGTCACAGCAAATGACATTGGTGAGGTCTGACACTAGCTGTGAAAACTAAAAAGTTCACCCATCCTGCAACCAGTAGGTTCCAGCAGGGAACGCCAGGCCTGCAGCAGGAGACTCCAGAGAGGCGTTTGCTGCTGGCTTGTACTAAGTTGGCACAAACTGCAAACAGTACAGCCTATATGCCCATCCTCCCAGAGGATAAGAGGCCTGAGCCAGACAGAACTACACACACGGGCCACACAAGTAATTCGGAACCAGAAAATGAAGGGTGACAAAGGCCAGCTGCAGAAGTCCGGTAAGAAGCACATATTCTGGGCCCACTGCAGAGGCTCAGGTCTGTAATCCCAACACGTTGGAAGGCAGAGGTGGGTGCATCACCTGAGGTCAGCAGTTCAAGACCAGCCTGGTCAACATGGTGAAACCTCGTCGCTACTAAAAATACAAAAATTGGCCTGCTGAGGTGGTGGGCACCTGTAATCCTAGCTACTGGAGAGGCTGAGGCAGGAGAATCGCTTGAATCCGGGAGTCGGAGGTTGCAGTGAGCCAAGATCACACCGCTGCACTCCAGCCTGGGCTACAGAGCGAAACTCCGTCTCAAAAAAAGAAAAAAGCAGCAAATACTCTGATTTTGGAGGGAGACAGCCAGGTCTGCTTTCTTGCTCTGCAACCTTGAGCAAGTCACTTGACCTCTCTGGACCTGTTTCCCCAACTGTATATTGGGGACAATAATAGTCCTGCTTTTTAGGTTTGTTGTAAGGATTGAGATAACGCATGTACAGTGCTTAGAGTGCCTGGAACATGGAAAATGCTATATGTGGCTGGGCATAGTGGCTCACGCCTGTAATCCAAGCACTTTGGAGGCCAAGGCGGGTGGATCACCTGAGGTCGGGAGTTCAAGACCAGCCTGACCAATATGGTGAAACCCCGTCTTAATTAAAAAAAAAAAAAAAAAAAATGCTATATGTGCTGGGTGCCATGGCCTCATGCCTGTAACCTCAAAAATTTACGAGGCTGCTGGGCGCGGTGGTTCAAGCCTGTAATCCCAGCACTTTAGGAGGCTGAGGCGGGCGGATCATGAGGTCAAGAGATCGAGACCATCCTGGTCAACATGGTGAAACCCCGTCTCCACTAAAAAATACAAAAAATTAGCTGGGCATGGTGGCGTGTGCCTGTAATCCCAGCTACTCAGGAGGCTGAGGCAGGAGAATTGCCTGAACCCAGGAGGCGGAGGTTGCAGTGAGCCGAGATCACGCCATTGCACTCCAGCCTGGGTAACAAGAGCGAAACTCCGTCTCAGAAAAAAAAAATAATAATAATAATTTATGAGGCTGAGGTGGATCACTTGAGGCCAGGAGTTTTCAATGTAATCATGGCTCATTGTAGCCTTGACCTCACAGGCTCAAGCAATCCTCCCACCTCAGCCTCCCAAGCAGTTGGGATCACAGGCTTAGGCCACCATGCACAGCTAATCTCTTCCTTTCCTTTTTTTTTTCCCTCTCTCTCTCTCCCTTTCTTCTTTCTTTCTCTTCTCTTTCCTAGAGTCTTCCTATCACCCAGGCTGGAGTGCAGTGGCTTGTTCACGGTTCACTGCAGCCTGGAGCTCTTGGGCTCAAGCAATCTTCCCACCTAAGCCTCCAGAGTAGTTGGGACTACAGGTGCACATCACAGCTAATTATTATTATTATTATTTTTTTTTTGAGGCGGAGTTTCCCTCTTGTTACCCAGGCTGGAGTGCAATGGCGCGATCTCGGCTCACCGCAACCTCCGCCTCCTGGGTTCAGGCAATTCTCCTGCCTCAGCCTCATGAGTAGCTGGGATTACAGGCATATGCCACCATGCCCAGCTAATTTTTTGTATTTTTAGTAGAGACGGGGTTTCACCATGTTGACCAGGATGGTCTCGATCTCTCGACCTCGTGATCCACCCGCCTCGGCCTCCCAAAGTGCTGGGATTACAGGCTTGAGCCACCGCGCCCGGCCTTATTTTTTTTGTTTTTTTTTTTTTCTCTCTCTTTTCTTCCTTCTCTCTTCCTTTTTTTTTTTTTTTGAGATGAAGTCTTGCTCTGCCACCCAGGCGGCTGGAGTGCAGTGGCACAATCTTGGCTCACTGCAACCTCCGTCCCCCGGGTTCAAGTGATTCTCCTGCCTGTTTCACCATGTTGCCCAGGCTGGCCTTGAACTTCTGAGCTCAGTGATCTACCTGCCTCAGCCTCCCAAAAGTGCTGGAATTACAGGTGTGAGCCACTGCACCTGGCCGGAATTTTTAGTATTTTGCTAGAGACAAGGTTTCACCATGTTAGCCTGGATGGTCTCCATCTCCTGACCTTGTGATCCACCCACCTCGGCCTCCCAACGTGCTGAGATTCGAGGTGTGAGCCACCTCGCCCAGCTCTTTCTTTTTATTTTTTATTTTTTTTAAGATGGGGTTTCACCATGTTGGCCAGGCTGATCTTGAACTCCTGACCTCAGGTGATCCACCCACCTTGGCCTCACAAAATGCTAGGATTACAGGCATGAGCCACTGTGCATGGTCTCTAAGCTATATATTGCTAAGAGTAACATATCCTGATCCCCTTCAGCTGCCATCAGAGGACTGGGGTGGAGACACGGATGGGTCACATCACTCAGCTGGAGGACTTGTGAGACAGCCAGGACTGTGCAGGGGGCCCAGCCAGAGCACCCCAGCTTCCAGGACTTCTGGCTCCTCGGGAACTCAGGGCAATGCTGGGGTGAAGGCCCGACTTTAGGGAAATACCTGGAAGCAGGGGGTCTGGGGACAGGACACCCAGCCAGGAAGCTGCCTTTATTTCACTGTGCATTGGAAAAAGCCTCACCAGCCCAGCAAAGCCAGCCTCTTACAAATACCAGTGATAAAACAGGCCTGGGCTCGGTGGCTCACACCTGTAATCCCAGCAGTTTGGGAGGCCAAGGCGGGCAGATCACTTGAGGTCAGGAGTTTGAGACCAGCCTGGCCAAGGTGGCGAAACCCCATCTCTACTAAAAATACAAAAATTAGGCCGGGCGCGGTGGCTTAAGCCTGTAATCCCAGCACTTTGGGAGGCCGAGGCGGGCCTGGGTTCAGGAGAATTGCCTGAACCCAGGAGGTGGAGGTTGCGGTGAGCCGAGATCGCCACTTCACTCCAGCCTGGGTAACAAGAGTGAAACTCCGTCTTAAAAAAAAAAAAAAAAAAAAAAAAAAAAAAAAAAAAAAAAAAGACACATTGTTTCCAAAGGAAGATCATGCTTGGGTGGAGAAGGAAGTGGCTCATGCCTGTAATCCCAGCACTTTGGGAGGCCGAGGTGGGCAGATCACAAGGTCAGGAGTTTGAGACCAACCAGGCCAACATGGTAAAACCTCGTCTCTACTAAAAATACAAAAATTAGCCAGGCATGGTGGTGGGCACCTATAGTCCCAACGACTCCAGAGGCTGAGGTGGGAGAATCGCTTGAACCCGGGGCCTAGGGGGCGGAGGTTGTAGTGAGCTGAGATTGTGCCACTGCACTTCAGCCTGGGCGACAGAGTAAGACTCTGCCTCAAAAAAAAAAAATTTTTTTTTCTTTGGT